TGTGTCAGCCATGCTTAGGACTGCTAGAGCCCTTCAGCTAGGTCACAGTATCTGCAAAGTAACTGGATCAAGGAAGAGCAAGAACACCTTATAAAGAAAGAGTCTGCCTAGAGGTGAGTCTGTGAGGCCAGCAGAGTGGGGCATAGGGGACTTAAAAAGCATCACCCATTGTCCACTCCACTTCCTCACTACCCAGATGACATGAATCAAGCTGACCACATGGGGACCTTCTCGGGTCTCTCTCAGGACTCAGCAACTGAAAACTAATGGTTAGAATGCCTCCAAAATTACAGCACACCAATATTGAGAATGACAAGGGCTGGTGATGATAAGGTGTTTATAAAACACTGAGTTGAACAGGCAGATTACACAAAATCTATGCACTTTGTAATTTGGTGAGTTTTACAAAATCATGTACGTATGTATGTAAAGTGAATCCTGCTGATCCTGAGAATTATCCTCAGTAACAGTGTCTAGGTGTCCAGACACCTAGAAAGTGTGGGGGCTTTTGCTCCTCCTCCTCCTTCTGTTCTTTATTGTCTGTATGATTTAAAGGGCAATAGAATGTGATCTGGCATTGTATTAGTGAGGGTCAGAAAGCAAAGGGGCTGGAGAAAGGAATGAGAACGTGGCATCAGAACATGCTTCCCTATCAAGAAGATTGTTTCAGTGCAGAATTCTGCCAAAATTTCAAAGAAGAGCTAATACCAATTCTCTTCACATTGTTCCACACAATAGAAACAGAAGGCATATTGCCAAATTCTTTTTATGGGGTACAGTTACCCTGATAACCAAACTACATAAAGATGCAACAAAGAAAGATAATTAAGGACCAAGTCCCCTCATAAACATTGTTGCAAAAATATCCAATAAAGTACTGACAAACTGAATGCAAGAATTCAAAAAATCAAATCATTCATGGTGAATGAATCAAAAAAAATCATCCACCATGATCAAGAAGGCTTCATCCTAGAGATGCAGGGCTGGCTCAACATACAAAAGTCTATCAATGTAATTCATCATATAAATAAACTGAAAGAAAAAAAACATATGATTATCTCATTAGATGCTGAAAAAGCATTCAACAAAATCCAATACCCCTTCATGATAAAGGTCTTGGAGAGATCAGGGATACAAGGAACATACCTAAGCATAATGAAAGACATATACAACAAACCAACAGCCAAGATCAAATTAAATGGAACTAAGCTCAAAGCAATTCCACTAAAATCAGGAATAAGACAAGGCTGTCCACTCTCTATATCTATTTCATATAGTACTCAAAGTTCTAGCTAGAGCAATAAGAAACAAAAGGGTATCATGGGGATACAAATTGGAAAGAAAGAAGTCAAACTTTCACTATTTGAAGATGATATGATAGTATACATAAGTGACAATTCTACAAGGGAACTCCTACAGATGATAAACACCTGCAGTGATCTGACTGGATACAAGATTAATTTAAAAAAAAAATAGTCCTCCTATGTACAAATGACAAGCAGGCTAAGAAAGAAGTCATGGAAACAACACCCTTTACAATAGACACAAATAATATAAACTACCTTGGAATAACTCTAACCAAACAGGTGAAAGACTTAGATGAAAAGAACTTTAAGTCTTTGAAGAAAGAAATTGAAGAAGTGTAACATGAGGGCCTGCTTATTGGGGTTTATGTCCTGCCCAGTTCCCACAGCCAGTAAGCCCCAAGGAAAATCACACAGAGATCTTCATAAGATTATAAACTGATTGGCCCATTAGCTCAGGCTTCTTATTAGCTCTTGTAGCTTATATTAACCCATTATTCTTATCTATGTTAGCCACATGGCTCAGTACCTTTTTCAGCAGAGCAGGTCACATCCTGTTTCTTCAGTGATCTGGGTAGGACTCTGGAAGGAATGAGCGTCCTCCTTCCTAGAATTCTCCTGTTCTCATCACCCCACCTCTACTTCCTGTCTGGTTGACCTGCCTATACTTCCTGCCTGGCCAATCAGCATTTATTTAAAACATGATTGACAGAATACAGACAATTTTCCCAAACCACTTCCCCCTCTTTTTTTTTAACAAAGGAAAATATCCATAGTCCATTTAGTAAGGAGGAACGGGCTGCGTTCAGTTCCAGACTGGCTTACACCTGGGTCTGCAGGCTGCTTGTCATCCCGGCCACCCGGCTAGCTTAACCCTAAAATAACCACAAAGAAATTGTATTAATTTAATTACTACCTGGCCCATAAGCTCTAGCCTCTTATTGGCTAACTCTCACATTTTGATTCAACCCATTTCTAATAATCTGTATGTCACCACGAGGTCGTGGCTTACTAGGAAAGATTCAGCTTGTCTGACTTTGCAGCTTCATGGCAGCTCTCTCTCTGCTGCCTTCTTCCTCCCAGAATTCCGTTCTCTCTTCCCCGCCTATCTGAGTTCCTCCCTATCAACTAGGCCAAGGCAGTTTCTTTAATAACCAATGAAAGCAACACAAATACAGAAGGGCCTCCTACATCAAAGTAGATATTAGAAAATGGAAAATTTCCCACACTCATAGACTGAGAGGATTAACATAATAAAAATGGCAATCTTACCAAAAGCAATCTACAGATTCAATACAATACCCATCAAAATTCCAACACAATTCTTCACAGATTTCAAAAGGGCAATACTTAACTTCATATGGAAAAACAAACAAACAAAAAACTGGATAGCTAAAACAATCCTATACAATAAAGGAACTTCTGGAGGTATCACTATCCCTGACTTCAAGCTCTATTATAGAGCTATAGTAATAAAAACAGCATGGTACCAGAAAAAAAAAAACAGCTAGACAGATGGATCAATGGATGAAATCAAAGACCTTGACATAAATCCACACACTTATGAACATTGTATTTTTGACAAAAAAGTCAAGAATATAGATGGAAAAGAGAAAGCATCTTCAACAAATGGTGCTGGCATAACTGGATGTCAGTATGTAGAAGAATGAAAATAGATCCATATCTATGACCCTGCACTAAACTCAAGTTCAAGTGGATCAAAGACCTCAACATAAATCCAACCACACTGAACTTGACAGATGAGAAAGTGGGAAGTAGCCTAGAACGTAATAGCACAGGAGACAAGTTCCTAAATGTAGCCCCAGTAGCACAGAAACTGAGATCAACAATTAATAAACAGAAACTTCTGAAACGGAAAGCCTCTGTAAGGCAAAGGACACTGTTAACAAGACAAAATAGAAGCCTACAGAATGGGAAAAGATCTTCACCAAGTCCACATCTGACAGAGTGATGTTCTCCATAATACATAAAGAACTCAAGAAAATAGACATCAAAATACCAAATGATCCAGTTTAAAAATGGGGTACAGATCTAGACAGAGAATTCTCAACAGAAGAATCTCAGTTGTCCCAGAACATTTAAAGAATTGTTCAACATCCTTGGTCATCAGGGAAATGCAAATCAAAATATCTCTGGGATATCATCTTATACCTGTCAGAATGGCTAAGATAAAAAACACTAAAGACAACTTATGCCAGAAAGGATGTAGAATGCCTCAATTCCTGGTGTGAGTGCAAACTTGTACAGCCACTTTGGAAATCAAAAAGGTGGTTTCTCAGAAAATTATCAACCAATCAATTCAAGACCTACCACTCTTGGGCATATAAACAAAGAATGTTAAAACCACAAGGACACTTGCTCAACTATGTTCATAGCAGCATTATTTATAATATCCAGAACCTGGAAATAACCTAGATGCCCCTCAACTAAAGAACAAATAAAGAAAATGTTGTACATTTACACAACGGAGTATTACTCAGCTAAAAAAAAAAAAAAAAAAACAATAACATCATGAAATTTGCAATCAATAGATGAAACTAGAAAAAAATCATCCTGAGTGAGATAACTTAGACCCAGAAAGGTAAACATGGTATGTACTCACTCATAAGTAAATATTAGCTGTAAAGTAAAAGCTAACCAGGTTACAATCCACAGCCCGAGAGAAGTTAGGTAACAGGGAAGGCCCAAAGAGGACCATATGGCTCTCCCTGGGAAGGGGAAAGAGAAGAGATCTCCTAGATAAACTGGGGGTGGGGCGAGGGATGAGAACATGAGGGATCCGGTTGAGCAGGCTAGGAGCTAGACTGGGGGGGTGGGAGAGTAATGAAATTTGAGATGTCTGATGAGGGGACATTTCGCGGGGGAGGGGTTGGGGAGAAACCTGGTGTCAGAGAAACTCCCAGGAATCCACAAGGATGACCCCAATTAGGACTCCTAGCAATAGCGGAGAAGGTGCCTGAACTGGCTGTCTACTGCAATCAGATTGGTGACTACCCTAATTGTCATCAGAGACCCTTCATTCGGAACTGATGAAAGCAGATGCAGAGATCCACAGCCAAGCCCTGGAAGCCCTAATGAAGAGAGGGATACGGGACTGTACAAGCCAGGGAGGTCAAGGTCATGAGAGGGGAACCCACTCCCCCACGGAGATAGCTGACTTGTGGGACCTCACAGACCCTGAACCAACAGCTGGGAGCCTGTATGGGACCAAAAGAAGCAGTTTGTGTGTGTGTGTGTGTGTGTGTGTGTGTGTGTGTGTGTGACAGTTGTGTAGCTTGGTCTGTTTGTGGGGCTCCTAACAGTAGGATCAGTACCTGCCCCTGGCGCTTAAACTTGCTTTTAGGAACCTATTCCCAATCTGGGTTGCCTCGCCCAGCCTTGATGCAGTGGGAGGAGCTTGGTGTGTCATGCTTCCTTGACCCCCATGAGAGGTTGCCCCTTTCTGAATGGAGACAGAGGAGTGGATGGGTGTGGGGAGTGAATGGAAGGAAAGGAGGGAGGGGAAACAGGTCAGGAGTAAAATAAATGAAAAGAAATAATAAATTTAAAACAAGACCCAGAGCACACTTCCCAGCATAAATGAGAGGAAAGTAAACTACAACACAGTCCCATAATTAGAGTGAAACCAGGCAATAAAAGGACTTTGGAGTTATGTAGAAATGGGATAGGCTAATTTGAAGCAAGGAAGTAAAGATACTTATAAACTCCAGATAAATATCTGAGACCAGAACAGACCTTGGAGCTGAGAAAGAAAGGCCAGAGGTGCCGGGAAAGCTGCCTAAGTCCACTGAAAACCACTCTGCCACTCTTTCTCGGTGGGTATGAAATGGGGCTGGTCTGACTGGTGGGTTCGCTGCTGCATTCTAATCTCTGGGTTGGAGTTAAGTCTTGAGTCTGTATTGAGACAGCTGATAAAGGAGGGAGAGAGAAACCCGGAGACGAAGACAATTACTACAAGGCAGGTTAGAGGCACTTCAAGTATATTTATATATACATAACTATACATCTCATGCTAAGAACAGTGGGTGCAGATGTATAAAATTCCAGGGACAGTAACCAACAAGTGGGAATCCTTGGAAATAACGTGGTGACCATGGGGCCACATAGAACAACAGAGACACTGAAGCACTTGGATGAGACATTTAAGATGCTTCTTTCTGGAAAATGAAGGTGGGGACAGGGGTCCTTCACTGGGTCAGCATTTTACATTTGCTGAAAGATGATGCCTTTAGATGTATTGCTGCATGATTCTGTGAAAATATCTGTGTCACTCTGATGTTTCATTCTATGCTGTAATACATTGTAAATGATAGTATCAACTCTACTCTGTTCAAAGACAGAAAAGAGGAAAATAGAAATTACAATTGTGTTTTTCCCACCTTTATTTGAAATTAGCTTATTGGCTAGTTTTTCTCTTATTGTTGTGGTCCCTATGCTTTAGAGTTCATGAAAAATTTGGTGTTTTTATGTATTCATGTGCTTAAAAATTAGTTGTGGTAGTTCTCATTTTTTTTTAAAAAAAGACAACTGATTATAAATAGCTTATCAATTGCTAAGTGAAAAAAATGAACTAACTCTATAAAAAAATAACATGACTCGTGACTGAACTTATTGGCTTTCCCTTCTGTGCATCATCATTGTGACTGGATAATCAGTAAATCGTCATCCTGGCATCACTTGTACCTGTGCACATCATGTGTATGCATTAAGTCATTTTGGTATTAACCAAAAAGTACGGACTGGGTCATTTCTTATCATTTTCTAAAACAATAGCCTGATGTGGCACAAATACATCCTGAGGCTTGGATGGGATTTATAGAGTCAGATAAAAATATAGAGTTTGTATTATGTATGAAACTTCCATATGCAGAAACTAGGTAACAGATATAAAATCAGAAATCGATGGTAAATAAACATCTTGAAAATTGCTTAACAAATTTAAATGATATGTTTAGAAATATATGCAAAAATATGTAATGATCTGCAACAAAGACAATAATGTTCTCTGTGTGTCTATCTGTCTCTATCTCCATCCCTATCTCTTTCTCCCTCACCTTCTCTCATAGGGCAATCATTTCAATGGACTCAGTTTTTAAGCCCAGGAGAATTTTTGTCCTGACTTATTACTATACCCCATCTCCTGTCTCCTCCCATTTTGCACTGATCTCTTGAAGTCCAACCCTTTTTGCCAAATGGGCTTACATTCTCTACTTGAAATAAGACTTTGGGTTCTAATTCCACAATAGTCGCTGCTATTCTTCAAGCTCTTGCTCTAGGGTGGCAAGTCTTCAAATGGCGTTATGAAAACTGCCATCATTCAAACTTTGTACCAACTATTTAAATGGCAACATCTGTTGTTTTACAGCTTAGATGCAGGAGCTAACAAGGATTTAATTGAGAAAGATGCTCAAGGTACCACAGTTAGTGAAGTATCAGGTTGGAGACTAAAAAGGTCTGGAATAATATTTAGTCTCAGAAACTTGGTCTGTCAAATGCATGATTCCTGTTTCAATAGTTATTTGCATGTCATGAGGAATCACTCCTCGCAGCCCTAGAAGGAAGGTATTCTTTTATTGTTTTTAGCACCGTATTGCAGAGAAATAACAGAAAAGAAAGTTCGACAAAACTTTAGCTGGTGTCAGAGCCAGAATTCTAACCCCAAATTGATGCTTATAACTGAACACAGTACACACCTCCTGCAGTATGCAATGAATTTTATCCTAAAGAGTTCATTTGAAGCCTGAGGGGAGGCTTCACTAACTTACTGCTAATCTGTTACAGCAACAGATAGAAAACAATATTGATGTCAATAATGCAACTCGATGGCAAGAAAGGCGGTCCAAGATTAAAATTATTTGTTAGGGAAAGTCACTAGCTCACATATGGCCAATGATGTCCGTCTCCCTAATGTTATTTTATTTAGATAAACTACTCTTGAGGGTTCTTATTCATTCAGCATCTCAGGCCCAATGTGCTGTTGGAATTCTTTTTCCTTTCTTGGGTTTTTGATAGGATTGAAGACTAGATAGTCGTAGTTACTTTTGTCTCATGACTTAGCCAAGCCATTTCTTTTTTTTTCTGAAATATTTTATTTAAAATAATTAGCGTGTGTATACTCAAGTGAATGTTATCAGGTTTGATACCAAGTGAACACAGACCTTTTTTTTTCTTTTTTTTTATTGAGAAAAAAAAATTTCCGCCTCCTCCCAGCCTCCCACTCCTCCCCCCCCACTCCTCTCCCGTCCCCCCACCCCTCTTCCCCTCCCCCCACTCCTCTCCCCCTCCCTCTCAAGTCTGAAGAGCAGTCAGGGTTCCCTGCCCTGTGGAAAGTCCAAAGTCCTCCCCCCTCCATCCTGGTCTAGGAAGGTGAACATTCAAACTGGCTAGGCTCCCACAAAGCCAGAACATGAAGTAGGATAAAAACCCAGTGCCATTGTCCTTGGCTTCTCAGCAGCCCTCATTGTCCGCCATATTCAGAGACTCCGGTTTTATCCCATGCTTTTTCAGTCACAGTCCAGCTGGCCTTGGTGAGCTCCCAATAGATCAGCCCCACTGTCTCTGTGGGTGGATGCACCCCTCTTGGTCCTGACTTCCTTGCTCATCTTCTCCCTCCTTCTGTTCCTCAATTCTAATATAAGACTTAGAATGCTTAGGATAGAATAACTATTGAAACATTTAGCATGTGTTTCTTGATTGATATTGTTTATGCTGGTTGGAATTCTAATTTTTATACTTGGTATTTGTTCTTATTGTATAAAGTTTTGTATTGGGTTTGGAACTCTCTTATTTAGACAAAAGGGGGAGGTGCTGTGGGAACTCCTTTAGCCAATGGCCTTTGGGAAGCTGGCCCACTTAGGAGGCAGTCTTGGATACTATATCAGCAGATGTAGGGGTGTGCACAAGCCCCTTGGCTGCTGGATTCAGTTCCAGGACTGCTGATCACTCCTTTTTCTGTGAGTTTACCCCTAAATAAATAAACCTTTATTATACTCCATTCTGGGCTAGTGTGGAACTATTTTAAATTCCAATACCAGTGTGGCCAAGGAAACTTGGATGGAAGTAAATCTCCATGATTAAATGTGGACAAAAGTCACTAGCAATCCTTAAAGAAAGAAGAAAACTGCACACAAAAAGCATTGTGTTCAGTATCCTTGGATTCATTTTTGAGATTTTCTCTGCAAGCCATCTTCTTGTATTCACAGATGTCAAAGAGCCCTGGGGGAGGAATGTCTTCACCCTTTGTCGAAGTATAAGTTATATAACAAACCCATTGGTGTATCAAACAACTGGCATTTTAATAGGGGCACCTGTTCAGACCATGTGTTCAGAATCCTGACACTTCAGTCCCCCTTGCCTTCTGATGTCCTTCAAAAGCAATGAACTCAGAAAAACACACATGCATGTGCACATGCACATGTACATGAACACACTGCAAAACTCAATATGAAGAACTGAAAACGAAATGTATTCCCATCATCCCTCCTTTACTTCTTTTGAGGCCCAGGATATATGGGATTCCAAGGTCAAATGAGAATCATATTTTTATTGCTTGTCACTAGCCAGTATCTACTCACTTGCTCTCTCCCATTTGCATAGAAAACGGACACTTGACAAGGTGTCCTTTCATTTCTTATCTTGGTAAATGTGTTACTTTTGTATGTTTTCTGCTGCTTAGGACATAATGACGTCTTCCCAGACAACTACCTACCCTGCGATGCATGTCACCATTCCCAATCCTTATGCACCAACAAGCTCCATGGCTCTTCATCCTCAACCACCTCTGGGTTTTCTAAACACAGGAAACCAAGTACAGACTAGGCAACTTTCTTACATTACATCTCCGGGAATCCTCACTACCCATCAGCTCGGTCTGGAAAATGTGCCAACAGGGCATCCAGCTCCAAGAACAACAACAACCAACCCCAAATTTAAAGATGCAGCAATGGCTCTTGGGGTAAGTGTATTTGCCACTAGAGTTTTAATGTTTCATTTGCAAGGTTTTTGTGCATCTGTCAGTTACAATAGCATATTGTTAAATGAGCAAAAATATTGGAAGATTGTTCTGCTAACTGTGCCTTTCCCTGAAAGAAAAGCTCAATCAGTGTATTAGTTACTCTGGGTTAATTTATTTTAGATTCAGTCGCGAGTCTAACAATTGACAGGAGACTTTTCCTACTTCTCGCTTGATCTCACTGCTATGAAAGTCTTTTTAGACAACCTCAGCTCTGTCGCTGGATTGGTTACACATGTATATTCCTATAAAGATGAATTAACTTTAAAGGATCATTGAAAACTGTTTGAAAGGGGGCAGAGCTATCAGCAAACAGTCTGGAGAAAGCAGAATGTGAAAAACCCTTGGAAATTTATGTCTTTGTTCCTTTACTTCACGAAAGTTGATTTGAACTGGACACCCACAATCTTGTTTCTATCAGCATTGGAAAGCAAGCCTGACCTGTAGTGAAGACTCCACACACTTACCCAGAAGTCACCACCATTTGTTAGCTTTTCCCATACCTCTTCACACACTCCCACCAATGTGTTATTGGTACAGCTCCAAAATCTTGGCTATGGGAGTCAGTAGACAACAGGTGCACTATGTACTTGAATTCTTCTAGCCATCTCACCAGCTAGTGCTTTTCGGCAATTTAGTTGAGTCACAGTGTTTCAGGCAAGTAAAAATAAACAGTACTCCACCCTCCAGCCCAGCAGCTGCTCTACACCGGGAAGGTGGCTCCTTGGATCTTGCCCTGCCAAGTGGAGTGCATTCCCTGCGAACGCATAGCTCACAAAGCCAATTCACACAGTTGCTGAAAATATCTGGAAATACAAAACAGGAACAGCCTCTGCCTTCAGGGGACCTATGGCCAAGCTGGGGAAATCAGGCTGCACACATAATAAAGATGCAATCTAGAGAGTGTGGGAGAAGGTGAAAAAATACTATATAGATATTGACTGAGGCAAACCAGACTAAGAAAGACAAAAATCTTGTGTTGTCTCTCATACACATGTCCTGTCTTTTACTGTTAGGGGCGGGGGGGGGGGGGGATGGCAGTGTGTGTGAGAAAGTAGAAAGGCGGTCACAAGAAGAGAAAAGAGGTGCTGAGGAAAGGGAATGGGCAATAGGACACATGTAACATGAAAACAGAAGGGAGGCTTGTGGGAGTGGAAGGGTATGCAGAGGGTGCAAAGAAACAGATGAGAGTAGAGGAGAAAGAAAATATCAATAATTTCAATAATTTCACTTGAAAATGTCATAACAAATCCTAGTACTTTATATGCTAACAAAAATTAAGTAAGTAACATATAGAGTGTAAGAGGAAGAAGAAGAAGCAGGCAATGAATGGGTAGACACTTGAAGTTGATCAAGACGGGCACTCCAAAGGCATGAAGTTCAGAGTGAACCACACAGATGTCAGGACAAGAAAAAAATAGCCAGTGTAAAGACTTTAGAAGAAGATTGTGTGTGGTGTATTTGATGAACAGGAGGAGGCCAATAAAATAGAGCAGACTGCACAAAGAAAGGAACAGCTGGAAGGAGGCCAAAGGGGAGGTGGGGACAAACCTGGTGGTACATCTGGAGCAGACAGATGACTTTTATTATGTGGAACAAAGATCCATTTGAAGCATTCCTCCTGGCAAAAAAAAAAAAAACAGATGCAATCAAAATATATTTAAAGAAAAGGCAAAGTTCTGCTAAAAATAAAATAAAATATTAGTTAGCAGAAGCTGGGTCCTCTCCATGAAGACTGTGAAGCTACACCCCAAGTTACCACAATACTTTGGGGACCACAGATGGTGGGGGTAGAATATTTGGTCCCCTTTGCTCAGAACCTCTGTGATGGTTAGCTTTAACTGTCAACTTGGCACAGCCTAGAATCACCTGAGAATAGAGACTCCATGAAGGATCTTCTGCATTGTGCTCCCCAGTGGGTGTGTCTTTGACGCTTTGTCTAATTAAGTTCATTGATTTGGTAAAACCCAGCCCACCATGGGTGACACCATTCCCCAGGCTGGGATTCCCGGGCAATATAAGATTGGGGAAAACAGTCTGAGCATGAACAAATAAGCAGGTATGCATACATTTCTATCTCATGTGATATGATTGGCTCTTTGAAGTATCTGCCTTGACTTCTCTACAGTGACAGACTATAACCTGGGATTGTGAGCTGAAAATAAACCTAATCTAAATTGCTTTTTGCCTATTGATATTTTATCACAGCAACACAGGAAACTGGGGATGAAATCAACTGGGACAATCACCAAAAACACAGAACAAGTTGAATGTTTAAGTGGTTGGGGCTGTAGGTAATTTTAATCAATGAAGTGTAGAGCCAGGGTTATATGGGCAGAAAGAGGGGCCAATAGGGATGAAAAGTTGTAACTGCCCTTCATCACGATGACAGCAAGACAGGAAGTCTGTACCCAGACTGTGCTCCTAGAGAACGACTTGTGGAAACAAATCTGAAGTCAGATGCAGGAGTTTCCAGTCTGAGACACAGCATTGGCTAAAATGGGTCACCAGCTCTCAGAAGCTGTGTCTAAAGGATGATGAACACATGTGGATGAGCAAGAAGAATTGTTCAGAGGGAAGGTTCATGGCTTTCACAAGTCTCAGTGCATTTCAACAATGTATTATTATTTTAGCAAATTTATGAAATTGTTGTTTTCTTTTAATTCAATTTCATTTTATTCATTACTATTCATTGAGAAAATAAACACAGAAATTTCTGTGGCCCTAGTCTTCCTGGATAGGTAAGATCAAGCATAAACTTCAGAAGAAATGGACTGTGGATATGTCACTGAGCTTTGGACCAATACAGCAGCTGTTGCTTCTCAGAAAACTATGTTTACTCTACAAAAAAAAAAAAAGAGTGATAAGAAAGTAAAAGGTTTATCCCTTATCATTGGTGAAATCCTTCTCACCTGGTATGAGAAAAGTTGCATATCAACATTTTAAAAACAAACAGTACAAAGACTAGAACAATGGTGCTGGGGTTAAGATCAGTGGCTGCTCTTGCAGAGGACTCAGTTCCATTCCTAGCATCCCTTGGTGGCTCACAGTTGTTTGTAACCCCAGTTCCAGGGCATCAGACCCCACTCCTCAGGCATCCTGGAGCACCACCAGGCATATAGATGATGCACAGACATGCATACAAGAAAAACATCCAGACATGGAAAATAAGATAATAATAACTTTTAAAGTTAAAAACATGAAAATATAAAAGCAAATGATGCCATGTGTTTTATATCTTAAAATATGAGGAATTAACAAAGAACAGGTTTGTTTAACTAGCATAACGATCACAACAACCTAGAATGGGTGGAACCAAGCTAAGCTTGAAAGGACAGATTCCAAATGTGTTTTGGAGTCAGTCCACTGCCATGCATTCTGGGCATCTGCCCCTTCATAACTGTGTGCCCTTGGGCACTTGATTTCTTATGACTTTCCATCTCCACCTAGTTGTTGGTAGAGTGACAGGCAAGATGTTTAGAGCATTGTCAGGTGTATGATTGATACTCTAGGAGTGACTTCATCTCTACTGACTCCTTTTCTTGTGACTAGCACTGCCCGGACAGGAAATTGTGCTACTTCTGCAAGACAGTCACTGTCACCCCAATCACAGCATTCTTTACAAACTTATAGACTCACAGAGGACACTAGGAGATTCTTAAGGACTCACATTTTCTAAAGGCTTCTCTGGAGACCATCCGGAAATCAAACCAAGTGCCTCTTAAAAATGTTTAGTGTGTGTGTGTGTGTGTGTGTGTGTGTGTGTGTGTGTGTGTGTGCAAGCACATATATGGAGGTCAGAGGGCAATTTGCGAGACTCAGTTCTGATGTGGGATTCCCCTCTGTATGCTATGAATATGTTTCATTACCATTGGTTAATGAATAAAGCTGCTTTGGCCTATAGCAGGGCAGAATATAGCCAGGCTGGAAGGGATATATAAAGAGAGTAGGCAGAGTCAGGGAGACGCCATGTAGCTGTGGAAGGAGAAAGACACCAGACCTTACTGGTAGGCCACAGCTTCGTGGTGATATATAGATGAATAGAAATGGGTTAATCTAAGCTGTAAAAGTTAGCTAATAAGAAGCCTGATCTAATAGGCCATGCAGTGTTGCAACTAATACAGGTTCTGTGTGATTATTTAGGTCTGGGAAGCAAGAAATGAACAAGCAATCTCAGTTTACAAAATGGCATGCCAACGTGAAGCAACTATATCCACATAAAACCTGAATAAAACCTGAGAGAGCTTGGATAGACACAAAAGAACAGAGTTAGCAGGGTGGTAGTAGTGCACACCTTTAATCCCAGCACTTGGGAGGCAGAGGCAGGCAGATCTCTGTGAGTTCGAGTCTAGCCTAGTCTAGAAGAGCTAGTTCCAGGATAGGCTCCAAAGCCACAGAGAAACCCTATCTCGAAAAACCAAAAAAAAAAAAAAAACAGTTAAGCATGGCTTCTTGGTAACAGCATTTTCTTGGGTGGGCTCTGTTTGCTAGAAGGAAACAGAGGCACAGTTCCTTTAAGAGAAGGTTTCCTGACTCAGCAGTGGCAGCAAAAACTGTGCAGCTTCTTTAAGAAGACTTCCTGGTTTGTGCTAGTTGCATGGACAGCTATGGCTCTTTTAGGAGGTTCTAAACTGAAATGGGGTTTGTGAGTAGCGTGCTAGTTGCTTAATGTGACACAGAACAGCTGCATCCCTGGAGCTAGGGAAGTGAGCATACCTCCACCACGTTGGATGGGGAGGAGCAAACAGACAAGGCCACAGAGTTGATCCTAGCCATGGCCACTTAGCATTAAAAAAAAAAAAAGGAAAGGTGCTCCTGATCAGAAATTGATTAAAGATACACAATAAAGACAGATTCGGACATAAAAAAAAAAACTCTAAACAAGATACATTGTATTTTTAAAATGTATGAATGCTTGGGAGAGAAAGGAAAAAGAGTATACACACAGAAGATGAGAACCTGTGGATTTCTTCCAGAATAATGTGATTTTATGTAACAAAATCCCCCCAAAAGGTCTCCATGAACCCTAAAATTACTCTGCCCAACAAATAGCAGAAAATAGTCTGGAAAATACTACACCCAAATTCCCAAAATGATTGTTTATAAATGTTTATTTTCATTTAAAGGAGGTTAATTATAAGTAATTAATGGTCATGGTCAATTTCTAAAAGAAAAAAATAAGGGGCATACGATGTACAGAGATGGATACATTGGTATGGATTTTGGTCTACTGATACAAATTTAAGGTCAGTTTGTTTCACTGTGCATATATATTTCTGCTCTTGTTTAAAGTATTGTGTTTGTGCAGTTCATTTAAAAATATAATGCATAATTTAAAATACAGATTAATAGTCATTTAGAATAGTCAAATTTGTAGTTATGTTAGTTAGGTTTTCTAGATATATAGAGATATATTTCACTTAGATATTCTTCAAACCTTTCAAAGACTTATAGAATATGGCATTTAAAATGTTTTAAGAACTTAGACTTTTCTCAACAGTGAGACATGTCTAATTCTGGCAGTACCAATTACTTCAGAGAGGTTGGTGGGTACTGAAGAAACTCGTTGTGGAATTTGCCTTCAATGGGACAAGGTTAGCCATTTGAGCACGAAACTGTTCTTACCTAGACTAGTTAATGGTATGCTGTATAAACTGGACATGCAGGACCCACAGAAGAGTGACTGATAAACTTTTCAAAAGATGGGCTGGTTCTTCCTGCTTCATAGAAGAAACTGCCAGACATTATGCAGGACATAGAAGAAAGTAACTGATAAACTTTGCCATCACAAGGCAGAACAGATCTTCACATTCCCTGTTTCGTGGAAAAGTCTGCTGGATACTATGGGCCTGTAGGCTGAAGATGGATGCCCCAATGGTACAGAAGAACTCTGGGTGATTGTCCAGGCAGCAAGATGTTTCTGTCAGTTCTAGAGTTTTGGAAGTTGCTTACAATGCATTTCTTGTTAACTTAGGTAATATTATATCATTCCTGGAGTTTTTGATGGAGTTGAAGATTAGATATAGTTTTCCTCAGTTATGACAAAGATAAGTTAGTTATTAAACTTTAGACTCACAAAGATAAAATAGATGTTAGAATATTTTCTTTAATTTTTCCAGGTACAAATAGACTAAATACTGTAACTGTAATTCTTGCTTCATGCCTGTTTTGTTATATGTAATTTTACTATGGTAAAGTTAAAACCTTCCTTTTATTTAGACAGAAAAGGGGAGATGATATGGGATTCCCCTCTGTAGGCTATGAATATGTTTCATTACCATTGGTTAACAAAGCTGTTTTGGCCTATGACAGGGCAGACTATAGGCAGGCTGGAAGGGATATAGAGAGAGAGTAGGTAGAGTCAGGGAGACACCAAATAACTGCTGAAGGAGGAAGATGCCAGACCCTACTGGTAGGCCACAACCTCATGATGATATATAGATTAATAGAAATGGGTTAATCTAAGATATAAAAATTAGTTAATAAGATGCCTGAGCTAATAGGCCAAGCAGTGTTATAATTAATATAGTTTCTGTGTGATTATTCAAGTCTGGGCAGCTGGGAAATGAATGTGCAGTCTCTGTTTGCACAGTTCTTCCCACAAAGTGGGGGGGGTCTAGGTATCACACTCTGGTCATCTGTTTAGATAACAAATTCCTTACCCACTGAGCCATCTTACTAGCCCCTCAAACAGAGTTTATTCATTTAATTAGTTAAATAGTCAATTTCCAGACCAATTGCTGTTTTCCCTCCCTCTCTGCCTCCCAGTCCCTCTCTTCAATCTCTGCTCCATCCAACTCTCCCCCTTTCTCTCCTTTCTCTTCAGAAAAGGGCAGGCCTCCCATGTATATTAGCCAGCCATGGAGTATCAAATCACAGTAAGACGAGGCACTTCCTCTCCTACTACAGCAACCAAGTAGGAGGAAAGGGTCCCAAAAGCAGGTAACAGAGTCATAGACAGACCTTTATTCTCACGGTTAAAGAGTCCCACAAGAAGACAAAGCTACACAACTGTAACATATGTACAGAGGGCCCAAATCAGTCCCCTGAAAACTCTCTTGCTGCCAGTTCAGTCTCTGTGAGGCCCTACAAGCCCAGGTTAGTTGATTCTGTAGTTTTCTTGTCCTTGGCCCCTCTGGCTCTCATAATACTTCCTCCCCTTCCATGTGATTCCCTGAGGTCTGCCGAATGTTTGGCTGTGAGATTCTGTACGTGTTTCCATCTGTTGCTGGGTGAAGCTTCTCTGATGACAACGGGATCTATGAGTATAGCAGAATATCATTAGAAATCATTTCATTGGCTATTTTTTTTTGCCAGTCATGTTTGATTCTATCCTGGTCTCTGGGCTGTCCAGCCCCTGGGTCCTGACCCTCTAGGCAGTGTCAGGGGTGGGCTTCCTCCCATGATATGAGTCTCAAGCTAGATCAGTCACTGGTTGGCCATTTCCATAATTTCTACATCACCTTTACCCCAGCATATTTTGTAGGCAGCACAGATTGTAAGCCAAAGATTACATGGGTTAGTTGGGGTCCCAATCCTTCCACTGGAAGTCTTGCCTGGTAACAGGAGATAGCCATTCAGAATCTGTATCTCCCATTGCTAAGAGTCTTAGCTAGGGTTACCCTCATAGATTCCTGGGAGTTTCCACTGTGCTAGGTGTCTAGTTAATCCTAGAGATTCCCCTAGTTCCAGTTGTCTTTACCAGTACTCTCTCTCCCTCCATCCTCTCCCCTCCTGATAACACCTGTTCCCATGCCCACCCCTCCCCATCCAGACACACACTATTCCCCATTAATCTGTGATGTCTATTCTATTCCTCCTTCACAGTGAGATGCACGTGTCTTCTCTTGAACCCTCCTTGTTACTTAGCTTTTTGGGTCTATGGATTGTAGCATGGTTATTCTTTACAGTTAATATTCACCAATGAGTAATGACATACCATATTTGTCTTTCTGGGTCTGGGCTACCCCACCCAGGATGATCTTTTCTACTTCTATCCGTTTGCCAGCAAATTTCAGGATGTCATCGTTTTCATAGCTGTAAGTGTATAAGTCTACCACAGTTTCTCTATCTGCTCTTTGGTTGATGACATGTAGGTTGTTTCCAGTTTCTGACTACTACAAAGAAAGATGCAATAACCATAGTTACGCAGGTGTCTTCATGGTATGGTAGAGCAACCTTTGAGTATATGCCCAGGAGCAGTATAGCTGGGTCCTGAAGCAGGTCAATCCTCAGTTTTCTGAGAAACTTTGATTTCCTAAGCATCTGTTCATGTTTGCACTCCCACCAGCAACAGAAGAGTCTTCCTCTTACTCCACATCCTCACCAGCATGAGCTGTCACTTGTGTTTTTGATCTTATCCATTATGATAAGTGTAAGATGAAATCTCAGAGTCGTTTTGATGTGCATTGCCCTGACAGCTAAGGATTCCAAACAAGGGTTTGACTTGAGGCCCTTCCTCCCCTGTTGTTTCAGGATACATCAAATCATTCACTGTTTGGATGAGTTCTCAGAGATTCTGGCAAGATGGACAGTAAATAAACAGGAGTTTCATGGACTAGAAATAAAGAAATCATTTTAAAATACCTCTTTGTTTTCCTTTTCAGGCAGTCCATATCATAACTGGATTGATGCATATTGGCTTTGGAATTGTTCTTGGGTTGCTGAGCATCCATTACCATATGTCTTGGGCATTTTGCTCTATTGCTTTTATTGGTGGATATCCATTCTGGGGTGGACTCTCTGTGAGTAGATTGTTGGACATCTCTTCCCTTACAGCCTGTTCACAGCTCAATTCTTGATAGATGGCGTGTCTGAGGGCTAGAGAACTTTGAGAAATAACAGCTCTGCTTGAGCATGAGAAAGGGGGCCTGTACTCCCTGCTAGAGACTGACAACTTAAACTCACTGTAAATGCAAGCACAGATCAAGAACCAATATGCTGGATGGAGAGTTGTGAGGAGTGATCGGAAACATGGCAAAACTAGGCCATTGACAAGATGAGGTTGAGGACAAGATGAAGCTGAGCAGGAGGTGCAATCATCCATGCAAACTCAGAGCCATCTGTAACAGTTCTTCACATGCAAGAAAACAGGGAGGGGAATCAGAGATGTATCCCCAAAGTGAATCTTAAAATAAGTGAGTGGTGTGTGAGAGAAACCAAACATAGGCAGCTAGAGCAGCCTCCTGCCTAAGGAGACAGTCCCAGGTATAGCAGAGAACCTACCGGTCACGAATCTGTCTGTTTCTACAGTTCATTGCTTCTGGCTCACTCTCCGTATCGGCTTTCAAGAAACCCTCCCCCTCTCTGGTAAGTTAGAAAACAGTCTACCTTTAAATCCTTTTAAAGACTGGTTTGATTTACTGCCAAGGACAACTTGAGAGGGTAGATTCAAAGAGTGGGGATGGAAGCACGTTCTCAAAATATCTGCCAGGTACCAGGTAATGCCTGTGCTGGCGCGGGGGAAGGGTACACTCAGTTTGCCACCCAGAAAGGCAGAGCGCCACATCCAGGCTCTGGAAAGCAGAAGAGTGGACATTAATATATGTAAGTGTTGTTTAAACTTTAGCCCAATGGCTCCCTGGTTCTGTTGGGTCACACGACATTCAGGTAAAACCAAGGAAGAAACTAGAAACCAAAACCCATCGGCATGCCCCTTCAATAACAAAGTCCCAGTGTTCATGGCCACTTCTCAGCTCTGTCTTGTATTTTACTTTTCACTGGTGTGTAATTCCTATTCTTACTCAGATTGTCTCTGTTGTCAGTTCTTTAAACTGTCATTGAAAACATCTGGTTCAAAGGATAAGAGCGCACAGAAATGTCCACAGAGATGGGGGTTCAGTTCTCTCAAGCCATAGCATGCCCCTTGTTGTGATTTCATGCCTTAATGGCAAACCAGGAGAGAGACATTTTCCCCCTAAACCTAGAACAGAAGTGGTGTCAAGATTAGATGAAGCTATGTGCAAGAACAAAAGATAGGGGAGATGGGAAGATGGAATCATGTTGTCTGTGCACTCCAGATAAAATAGTGGATCAAGCTAGAGGTAGAACCAGCCTAGCTCTGATTAGTCATATCTACTGTAATCCCAAAACAAAACAGAGCATCCTTCTCCGTATAGGGCCCTGCCCCTCAGAGGTTGTGTAGAAAGAGAGTCTGTCTTTGGGGACGGTACAATTAGATAGGAATGTGTAAAGCTAATACTGGGACTATCTCCTGTGTGATAGCTGTAAGAGTTAAAAGTGATATCATTTTAAATATAGAACAAAATACCTATCAGAGAATAATGCCCATTAAAAGTTTGCTCTTGTCACTGGAGAAATGGCTCAGAAGTTAAGGTCACTGACTTGACCACACCTCTAGAGGGCCTGTGTTTTATTCCCAGCACTCACCCAGTGACTCATAATCTCTGTAACTCCAGTTCCAGGGGATTTGATGGTCTCTCCTGGCTTCCGTGGGCACTGCATACTCATGGTATATAGATATACATGCAGGCAAACACCTACAAATTTAAAATAAATAAATAAATCTCAAAAAATAAAAATCTTGTTTGTCCTTTTATTGGTTTTACAAAGTAGAGTTACTTTTTATTTTTATTTTTATTGAGCCAGGGATTTTCTCTATAATAACCCTCACTGTCCTGGAACTCACTCTGTAGACCAGGCTGGCCTCGAACTCACAGAGCGTCACCTATCTCTGCCTCCCAGGTGCTGGAATTAAAAGTGTACACCACAACACCTAGCTGCTTTTTAATTTTTACTTTCATTTTTTTCATACAATATATCTAAATATATTCTTCCCCCCCCAAAAAAAAATCCTCCCAGATCTTCCCAACCTTCCTACTCATTCAACTTCATGTTCTTTCTCTTTCATAAAAAAAAAAGAAAGGAAAGGAGGATGGGAAGGAAGGAAGGAAGGAAGGAAGGAAAGAAGGGAGGGAGGGAGGGAGGGAGGGAGGGAGGGAGGGAGGGAGGGAGGAAGGAAGGTAGGTAGGTAGGTATCAGGAACAAAATAACAAAATCTTCCCCCTAGATCCCTGACCCTGAGAGGAAGGTTTGAGACATCGCATGTAGACTTGAGCGTTCCAAAGTCTCTCACTCTGTCCAGTTGTGGATGTCACAAATGTTGTTTCATGCTAGGGACACACTCAGTGGTAGAACACTTGCTCAGGGTGCACCAGACCTTGAGTTCATCTCTCAGCACAGTGAGAACTAAAATAAGATGTCAATGATTAAGAACCATCAATTCGGCTAAACTCCCACTCCCTTTAAAGTCACCTGTCTTCTATTTGGTTTTCTGTTCTTACTGCCTCCAACAGTTGAAAAGCACCCTGGCAATGAACATTATTAGTGTTATCTTTGCCTCTGTTGGCGTGATTCTGTTTGTGTGGGATCTGAACACCAACGGCTACTATTAACAGAACTACTGGATGGTGGTGAGTATCCTGCCATGGACCACAATGACTGCTCTCTCCTCAATGCCAGAGTATAGCTACCATCTCCTATTTCTTATACAGCAGCTCTGTTGAGAAAATTCTCTGTATTTCTAACCCTACTCCTAGGAATGTGATCGCTAAGATACAAGGTGAGAAAATTACATTTGCAGATAGATGATGTCAGAAAGACCAACCCCGTGGTCATCACAGGAGCACTGGGTAGAGTGTGGCAAAATACATGCAGAATTCCTTTTCCAGCACTTTATAATTCTGCATAGATAAGGCATCAAAGTGTGAAGTGGCTTTTGTAGGATGGAAACAAAGGAAGATGTCTGCTCATGTGCAATCAACTCCCTCTGGATATTTCCTTATTGTCATCAAATGCTTATTTCAGAGAAATACAAATTAATTTTGATATTTCTTTAAAACACCAGAAGACTTTTCCTCTCAGCAAGTAGACTGTTTAGGAATATCAGAAAATAAGTATGTGGGTTTTTTTTTTCTTTGTAATGGTCTCCTTGCTGTTATGGAAAATATCACAGAGTTGAACAGGAGGGAGATAGCTCTTTTGATGAGTCAGGACATTTCTGAAGTCTGTATGAGACCCTCCCGTTCAATCTAACATTCTATGTTTTTCTTATTTCAGCTTTCTGGGACAGGAATTGTAGGCGTGCTGGCAATATTTTCCATGTTGGAGGTCAGCATAGCATGTGCCATGGTTCTCTTTGCCTACCAAACCCTACTCCATGGCAAAAGGGTAAGTTGAGTCTCTTCTTTGTAAAAAAATAACCCAAATCCCTGCTGCAGAAATGAGTGTGGGCTGCCTACAGAGCTCTCTGCTCTCCACTGCTGAGACAGAGGCAAACGAAGGGACTGTGCTCATAATGCTGCTTGTTTTTCCTTATCCATTCTAGTCTGCCCTGGCTGTTCCAACTGTGCATGTGGCCAACCCCTTCACACAACAGCCTTTCCCAGATCCTGCAATAGACGAGAGAGTACCAGCTTATGCTCCTCAACCATACCAGGCATAAAGAATCACTGGGACAATTTCATATAATAAACCTTCTCTGAAAAAAAATTCTTATGAAGTTATGAAGTTGCTTTTTGCTTCCCACAGACCCTGTGTAGTAATAGGAGCAGCGGGGCTGCATCCCCAGCACCCCGGCTGCCCACATGGCTAGCTTATGCTCCGAAATAACAACACACAAACTGTATTCATTTAAATACTGCTTGGCCCTTTAGCTCTAGCCCTTACAGGCTAATTCTCACATCCCTTGCTTCATCGCGTGCGTCTGCCCAGGAGAGGGGGAGCATGGCGTCTCTCTGAGGCGTCTGCTCCTGAGAGGAGAGCTGTGGAGTCTGAGCTCACTTCCTCTTCCTCCCAGCGTTCTGTTCTGTTTACTACTCCCACCTATCTTCTAACCAATGAGGGCCAAGCAGTTTCTTTTTATTTAACCAATGACCTTCCTCCATCATCCCTGCAAATCTATTTAGTGCCTGTATTTGGAATTTAGAAAGTGTTAAATATCACATGAAATTTGAGGGGTGTTTTTAATACATCTTTAATTAAAATATAATTACATCACTTTTCCTTTCCCTTTCCTCCCTACAGCCCCTTTCAAGTCCCCTCCCTCTAACTTTTCTCATGTCCCCATACTCTCAAATTGATAACCTTATTTTCTTATTACTGTTACATATATTATATACACATGTGTACACATATGTATGCACAAATACATAAATATAACCTGATTAGTCTGTTTGGGTTGTTTGTGTGTATATGGTTTCAGGGCTGACCACTTTGTATGGATAAGCAATTAGGGGGTTCGTCCATGAAAACAGCTAATTCTTCCTCTCTGAGTAGTTCCCTGTAATTCTGTGTCTAGGAGTAGAACCCCACGAGATCTCCCCCCTTCTACATTAGCATGTCAGTTGATGCTCCTGCTGTTCCAGCCCTGTTTAAGTAGCCATACCACCAGAAAATGCTGCACAAGCTGCTAAGGGAAGGAAGCATTTAACAATCCTACCCAACTGTGACCCTTGTTAACCACAACAATGATCATCATGGCAAGATATCCACAAAGTAGAAGAGAGTGGCAAGTCGGTGGTAGCCAACAGCTGTCTAACTGGACTGAGGCCCACTCAACAGGAGGTAAGTCATGCCTACTACTAGAAACCTAGCCAACTTCTCAAGACTGGTGAGGTCGTGGACCTTAGAAGAGAATCAACTACTGTTATTTTACTACGCCAGCATAATTCCTAACTACAGTCTAAATCTTATGCTTATACCCACCAATAAGTGCACCCCACACACACATCAAAAAAGCCTCTCTTTATAGCAAATGAAGACCATCACAGAAAACCACATCTGGACACAATGCAGAGATCAATGGACCCTGGGTATCCCCAACCCCACTGGATGCACCTTTATCACAGATCATACACCTGAGGCTCAGGGAACATAGTGGAAGAGGGGGTGGAAAGATTGTAAGAACCAGAACACCAGGAAGTCTGCTGTGAAACAGTCTCTCACTCTGGCATTTTTGAACAAAGTGTATTTGAATAGTCTCCTTCCCCTGACCTCTCCCTCCCACTACCCTTGACTCCTCCTTCCAAGCCCTTCAGTCTCCTTGCCTCTCTCACGTCCCGTGTGTCCTTTTGGCTGCATTCACCCTTCCTTTTCCCTTACCCCTCATCTCCTTTCTTGGTCTCCTTCCAAGTTTTGAAAGCCTTAGTCACAGTTACATCTGTATTGTGAGGGTATACATTTGGGAATCATAGGTCAGGATCTGCATATGAGAATGTGTGACTCTGTCTTTATGAGTTTGGTCATCTCATTTAATATTGATCTACCCAAATCCCAAGCTCCCTTTACTTTATGCAGATGGAAGCCATGGAACAGCAAAGGGTTTCTGGGTCTTTGAGTGCCAAGGAGCCATGGATGGGACTAACTGATTCAAAGACTTATAGTTCTTAGTCCTAAAAGATAGACAATCATGGATCCAAGGAAATAGACGTATGGGTCTAGGGACTTACAGCTCTGTGTCCACGCTGTCAGCAGCCCCACACTCAGGCACTAGCAATCGATAGCACTAACAGGCAAAACCTAGTGTTTTGGCTTTCAGATCCCAAAGCTCCTAAAAGCAGCTGTCATTAAAGCTCTTGGGCCTCAGAGATCAGAACTTTGGCCCCTCATGGCTTGCTGCCTCCCTGCACCTCTTCCAGCAAGTTGAGCCTTTGGTATCTCAACCTTTAACTTTCACAGCCTTCTACCCTCCATGGTCTCGGCTTCCTAGTTCGTTTTGCTTTCCTCCACCACCCTGCTGTCTCAACTGTCTCAGCTGCCTACTGATCATGTATCAGTTTCTGCCTCTGATCACTTCCTGGAACTTTTTAACTGTGCTCTCTGCTATGTCCCCTCCTCTTTTCTGTTATCAACTTAGCAGCCTCTACTCGTGATAAAGGTCACAAGCAGACAAGATAAGATCTTTCCAAGAGAACTCTTTGATGCAGTCTACTGTTAGAAAACAAGGGTTCAGCACAAGAGGGTACCCTTGGGCTGACTTGAAAAGTGAGTCAAATATGCTAATTATATATATATATATATATATATATATATATATATATATATGAGTGGTGTGACATGCAAGTGAAGCAGTGTAAATGCCACCAATCACTACACAACTTCCAGTTCCACTGGTTGCAGGCTGAGAACCAATCACAAGCTTTCTGTCTGTGAAAGCATCATCGAAGTCCTCCCATCATGCCTAAGGAAAACAGTGGCAAGGAGTGCAGGGAGACTGGGTTACCCAGAGGGTGCTCTGGCTTTTCTTGAGTGGTGTCTTCTTCATGACTGAAGCCAGAGAAGCAGGGGTCATAGCTTCAGTGCAGGGCTCCTGGCAAGTGGAGTAATGTCTTTAAGCTGTCTTTAGAACATTTAAGAGTAGTAGGAGTCCCGAACACACAGGCCACCAGAAAAGGGGCTGTTTGATCGACAGCTCTCTGCCAGAGGCAGCTGAACACAAGGGAAGGGTCTGACAACGGACAAACCTTTTGTCAGTTAAAGAGTCCAATGAGCTGGAACCCAGTGACCTAACTCACTTAAAGGAAAACTGTGAGTTGGTGGCTGTTTACAAGAAGGGCCTGTCTAGACATAGAATAACTAGAAAAGCAGCACTTCCTTCAGAGAACAAAACTTTCAGCAAGGCTGTGGGACAATGGTCTAAACCCTGTCAATTGTATTTTAATAAAACACTGATTGGCAAGTAGCCAGGCAGGAAGTATAGGTGCTGTGACAAGGCAGGAAGCAGAGGAGGGGTGATGAGAACAAGAGAATTATGGGAAGAGGAAAGAATCAGTCTGCAGTCGTCATCCAGACACAGAGGAAGCAAGATGTGACCGCCTAGCCGAAAAAGGTACCAAGCCACGTGGCTAAGACAGACAAGAATTGTGGGCTAATATAAGATATAAGAGTTAATTGAACGCCTGAGCTACTAGGCCAGCCGGTTTATGATTAATGTAGACCTTTGTGTGTTTATTTGGGACTAATCGGCTGTGGGGCCTGGTGGTACAGAAACCCCGGTAATCAAACATGTAATATATTTTATATTTCACTTTTATTTAATAGTGGTAACCATAATAATAGCAAGTATTTATCTAACTCTCTGTATGCACTGGTCACATTCTGAACAGGTATCTTATGCCAGTGTGCTTGGTACAGCGACCCAACAGGGTGGGTTCTTTGATTAACATGGCTTTTAGATGAGAGAACCCAGGTGGAGGCCCCAAAAGGCCTATTTCCACATTGGTCAAAGGTCAGAGTTAGGACTGGTTTCTAGTTCTGTCAAGGTTATTGACAGACAAAGGTCCCACCTAGTTGTAAATCAGAGAGTTCTGCTAGCTCAATGCTATCGTCAACAGGTGTGGCTAATTGCCAGACTTTGTGCTCCTGAAATAGGCAAGTAGGTTTTTTTTTTCCTACCTAAACAGAAGTCTAAGGATCCAACTAAATTCCAGTTCCCTTTATGGAAATAACTTGAGATTCCACCCAGGGAGTGGTTTGCCTACAGAGAGTTTGGTCTAGGGCGTGAGCATGACTTGGTGACTTGTTTTGTTCTAGCAACAGAATGCTGAACTGTGAATGTAACCCAACTGACTTTCAATTGGTCTGTTCATTTCCTTGTAGCATGCTATTGCAGTCTTTTGCCTTACTCCTACCTTTTGGGGTCAGGAGTATTTTAAGCAGTTGGAAATTAAATGCAGGTGAATTTCCAGTACTCACTGGAGTTCCCTCCCGATACTATATGTTTCTCCACTTTACTATTTTCATTCGCATCTTCATATTCTTTACTATATTTCTAAATAACCATGCCCTTACCTTGACAACAGGTATTTTTGTCAAGGTTGGTCCCTGACTGTTTCGGTAAACGAAAGTTGAGAAGCAAATGAGATAATGTCAGATGGAAATAGTTTGAATATAAATGAGGCTTATCTGTACTGGAAGTTTTAAAATGTAAAGCATCAGATAGGGAATACATGAATAAATAGATATAAATATAGCTATATAGATATACATAGATAAGACTAGATTATATTGGTATAAATCTAGATATATGAGGATGAATAGATAGATGGGGCGGAGAAATAGAAGTCATGGAAGAAGCAGATGAGAAATTTTGCATCTGGGAAGTTACATGCATTATTTCAAGGGAAGAGTTACTTACTACCCAAGTAGGATTTGAACCCAAGCAGTCTGGCACCCACATACACCCATTTCTCCTAACTTTTACTTTTCCTTATTTGGAAAGAATCAAAGATTTCTAGCTAGAAAACAAGTAAGTGGGAAAAGCTTGTTTCCCCACAGCACATTTGTAATAAAGTTGGAAAGTCTAGCCCACCCTCCTTCGGGGTGCTTATGTCAGATAATACAGTGTCACTGCTTCCAACACCTGTTTTCTGAAAGCTACCCTGTCCGGTAACTCTCTCCTAAGAGTCTCTAGCCTAACTACCTTAGAATAGGGTTCTCAACCTGGAGGTTGAATGACCTTTTCATAGAGATCACCTAAGACTATCGGAAAACATAGATATCTACA